CAGATGAAATCACGTAACAGGTTAAGTTCAAGCTTCTTCGTATTAGTGCAAGTTATCAATTTGTATAATTAGTTACATGGTCTCTTTCATATTTGTTGGAATCTTATGAAACGAGGCGGGTCATATACTTATGTCAATATCTAAGAAGCAAAATGATTATATTTTTTAATATAAGTCGTGTGGCCACTATCATTATGCCAAGTGATCTCCCGTGATCAATAAGTTCCAAAAACTGTTTAATTACTCATTAGCAACTTGTATTAGTAATTTATCATCATTTTGGACGTAACCTTAGCTGTCTAACCCATAATATTTCACACGACTTATCCCCCGACTTCACTCTAATAAACTAAGCCATCGCATACATACATATGATATTGAGGACCGTATACGAAAAGCGTTCGCATACGACACCAACATAGATACTTTTATTTTAAAACCACATGGTTTTTATATTGAAGCTCAAACTAATTAATACATATGTGGAAATTAAAGTAGAGTATATATTCTTACTTTTGGATATTAGTGCTTCAATCTAAAGGGGTTTGACAAACCGAAACAATCTGTCAACCAAAACCAAGATGATAGTTAGTTCGACTGTTTTAAAGATGACTACGATATTCGAACACACAATAAACAGCCTTACGAACTCCTTTGCCACAAAAAGAATATGGTTTCTTGTGTAAATCGAAGAAGGAGAGCGATAGAGAGAGCGTTAATAGATATATTCAAAGTTGGATTCTGTTGGGAAGTTCTTCGGATCCCTTTTGTGGTTGCGGTGGAGACCACACTCCTTATTATGGTTTTCACACTTAAAATATATTACCTTCTTTCTCAAGTCTTTATTTGTTTTATTCGTCATGATCGCTATTACACTATAGTAAAATTACTACTCACGTTGAAAGTTGAAACGCATTGTTTCAAGCCATGCGAGAAGAATCCATGTTTTATTTTACGAGGCATAGATTGCGGTAAGCTCCCATGATAATTACGGGGTTGTATAAGAAAAAGTGAAAAACGTGAGATTTGAAATAGTTTTCGACTACAACTTTTTAATTAGCACTAATCAGTAATCAATGCTCCAATTGCATGCTAATGCTAATCAGTCATCACTTTAACAATAATGACAGCTAAAAGCGTGCAATAATATGGACAACGAAAATATAAAGATTGATTCAGTCTTAGACCACAATACTATTTTTTTTACCTCAACTATTAAAACATCACGATACAACAGAACTTAAAAATTCTATAATGCTTAAAGCTCGATTTCTTATACATTTCACTCCTTTCAAACTTCAGTCATAAGTTCCGAGGTCACACTTATGTTTACTGCTCGACTCCATGTTTTCATTTTCAATGTTTTCGGTATTGGGGTACATTCCCCTTAGCTTGTTGTTTTTGCACCAATTTGCATTCCTTTTCATCGTATGTAACCGTATTATTCTTAATAAAGAACCAGAAATTCCGACGAAAAACTTTAGCTTTAAACTTCTACATATTTGATCCATAACCGAGAAAAAGATATTACATACATTATATTTTCTTTGTTTATCATTTTTTGTTCCCATTTTTCTTTGTTAGTGGTAACATTATCCTACTTTTTATATATTTTAAATTTTAGTTTTGATTTTGGCACATAATCCGTTTCTGCTGTACTTTTTAAATTTTGTATTTTACATTTTCTTGTAATAACTTATTATTCTGCATGTAAATTTATTAACTTTTCAAACAAAATATAAAATGGTAAAAAAAACGAACAGAAACAAAAAGTTTGAATTAAGAACTAAGTACATTGGGTTTTTGCATAAACACTATAGAATGATAACAGGGGTGAAGGCCCAAGTTAGTATTGGAAGATGTGACGTGTTCATCTTCCTCTTTTCTAAAGCCCTATTTTTTTTTTCAGATTATACTCCCGCCGTATTTTTACTGCTCAGATTCGGTGGTAAAGTAAAGAGACGTTTACAATTATGCACACTTTACAGGTAAGTGGTTATAGTTGACACACTTTCATCGAGAAGGGGTATTTTGACAAAAAATTGCACTCCACGGTGACGGATATACCTTTAACGAGAAGGTAAAACTTTGTGGGGTAAACTTGATTGTTTTATTGTCAGCGTCTTTTGCCGGAGCTTGGACAAATTGACTATCGAAGATCTATGTTCTTTAGTAATTGGCTTTGGCTTTCTAATTACATTGGCGCATCAAGAAGCTGGAGAATCTAGGTAGTTGTTGGGGGTTGTTAGACTTTGATTTGTTTACAGTTGGTCGGAAACACATCTGAAGCAAAAATGGATTTATCGATTTAGCATAGAGTGATTGGCGAAGTTAATGGTTTTATCATATTCCGGCAGACAAAGACCGCCGTCGTGTTGCATCGCCGGCGTTGTTATCACTTTAGGGAAGTTATGTTGCCGAAGCCGCAAAGATATTGGTTTGTTCATGGGCGTTAATGGTGAATTGCTTTTGATATACAGAGATGGATACGAAAGACTTATTTTGGGAAGAAGATAAATAGTGTCCATTCAACATAATCCAAATTTAAGTGTCCATAGTAGCCTAAAATGTAAAACAAATGTGGTGGGTGATTTTTTTTTCTATACGAGCTTTGATGGTTTAAGCAGTTAGAGTTTGGTTAATAAATCAACAAACTGAAAGACAAAGGTTATATGTATAAGTAGATACCGTAATAAATTTAATTTGACTTTTAGTACATTTTCATGAATGTTATTACTTATTAGTTCAAAATATTTTCTAACTTCTTTTTTGACCAAAAGTTTTGATATCTTTCCTAATTTATGCCATGTATATCTTTGTTTTTCTTTTCCAACACTTTATGAATTGTCAAAACTATCACTCCCAAATGGCAAACCATTAAGTAATGTGATTTTTTTTAAAAATCTAATGATATGATTATGATTTAATTGACTGAAAAATAATTGTGTTAGCAAAAATTAGAGTTGAAAGATAAAGGCCTAAAAGGTATGAAGTTAGATACCAAAATTAATTTAATTTGTTTATAGTACATAATCACGAATGTTATTAAATAGTTCAATATATTTCCTAATATCTTTTTTGACCAAAAGTTTTAATATCTTTACAAACTTATGCCCATGTATCACAGAAATTGACAAGAAAATGATAAGTCTCTGCCACTATAAAAACAAGTCTCTGAAAACCTTTGCCATCATCTTCAGTTCGAGAGAAACAAACAGTCTTCTATATATATATAAAAAAGAAAACAAACAGTTACTTACACAGCAAAAAATGAATAACAAAGCAGTCTTCCTTCTTCTCATCTCTCTCGTCCTCTTTCCTTTATACGCGTCTGCGGTACGTGTCGGTGGCTGGGCTCCCATCACCAACCTTACAGATCCTCATGTGGTAGAGGTGGGTGAATTTGCAGTCTCTGAGTACAACAAGCAGAGCAAATTGGAACTCAAGTTCGAATCAGTTGTTAGGGGTGAGTCTCAAGTAGTTTCCGGGATGAATTACCATCTTGTGGTGGCGGCCAGTGACAACGGCACGAGTAATAACTACGAAGCGTATGTATGGGAACAATCATGGCTGAAATCGATGAATCTCACTTCATTCAAACCAATCTCTAAGGGTCATTTTTAAATTTTTCATGTAATCGATATATTTATAGTTGAATAAAGATAATGAATGAATGTCAAGTTCTGTATTATCTGGTTTTCAAAGTTTGTTATTGTTGGGAATATGATACAGTTGAGTGGTTGCAGTTAGAGTTTTTTTTTTTCTATACGAGCTTTGATGGTTTAAGCAGTTAGAGTTTGGTTCATAAATCAATAAATTGTATCCATTTGTTGTATATCCACCCCTTGGAAAACAACTTGAAGCTTCAAGATGCATTATATACACACATACATGGATAATTGGAATAAAAACACAACTTAGTTATGCATGTTCATCCATAGTTGATTGTCCACACTGAAATTGTCCATAGTTAAAAAATCTAAAGCTTCATTATCAAATAATTGTTACAGTCTACTAGTACATATCCATAATTGATTATCCATCGTACTTATCCATGTTTCGAAGTGTTTGTTCATATGATATCCATGTATATTGAAACTAATGACATCATGTCCATGCTACCATGTCCACGAAATCATGTGCACAACCGCATTTCGTCCCTGCAAATTAAGTGGTTTTCAAGCATGACTACGTGAAAACCAAAAACATACGGAGATAAAAAGATTATGTTATTTCTTACAATATTAATCATTAACCATATAATCTCGATATAAAGCAAAAGCTTGTCCATGTACATAAAAACTAATTTTGTTACCAATAACGTATTCACACTACTTGTTCATCATATGCTATCCACGATGACTTGTCCACATGCGACATATTGTAGTCCACTTTCAAAGTCACTAATTGTGCATCACAAATATTTGTATGAATTCTAAAGTTCAAAATTCCAAAGTTTATGGTTTGTGCTTTTTTATTAAATTATACGCATTATTATATGATTTTTTTAAGAGAGTTTTATCTGAAACCAAAACCAAATTTTCTTAGTTCTGATCTCCTCGTCCATACATAAGTGTCCATTAAATTATCTCTATTTTCTATTACATCTTCATAGTTTCGTCCCTACGATTTTTATCCTTTAAAATTTGTCGATATGAATGTGTCTATGCTTTGTATCCATTAAAGTGTGTCCATGTAGTTGTATCCTTTTTGTTCATGTCTATGTGTTTGTATCTTTTCTGTTTGTTTTTATTAGATTGTAACCAATACAACTATTAATATTCAAAGACTCTAAATTCATATGTCTATGTCAAACCATCCATATGTACACTCCATTGCAGTGGAATATTCCATCATCGTCTTCTCTACCAGAAGCAACGAACGACACTTTTATAATCAGTTGGCAAAACTCAGTTTTCAATTTACAAGCTATCGTTAACATGTACATTGATAGATTTATCGCCACCCTTTATGTCATATCCTAAAAAAACTCTTCTTCTATGTTGAGAGGGTAATGTCAATCGCCCTTTGCACATCATCTCTTATCCATCATATACCTTTTCAAAATCGTGTCCATCGTCGTTTGTCTATGTTCTGTCCATTGCCGCTTGTCCAGCATCTCTTGTCCATCATATATCTTCTTCAAAATAATTTCTAGTTTCAGATCTGTATACTTTAATGGTTGTTATGACATATGAAATTTCGTCAGATCTAATTTCGAATTTGTGGAAAATCAACCAACTCGTAAAAATCAAGAACGAGAACAATTGATGGATGATAGAATTGAGATTAGATTAGTTGTTTGATAAATGGCAGAATACTTGGTGGTGTTTGCAAGTATGAAGAAGAAAAGTTTGTTAGAGAAGATAGAATTTCTGGAGTGACGGTGGTGATAGCTAAGGTTTCGACCGGAAATCTCAAAGGTCAAAGCGGAGAAAATGTTTTTATAAAAAAATGTAAGATGTAAAAAAGCAGGTTACTGAGTAAGTTAAATGTGGAGAAAAATGATTCCATCTTTTTAGAAAGAGGAAGTGTGTCACCCGCTGAAAATGTTCACATTTGTAAACAAAAGATGAGAAAATGTGTGCTGGTGTAATTGTCTCTAAAGTAAACCCAATCTCAAGACGCAGAGATTGACCAGGGTAGATCCGAGCCAGAATTAGCCGGTTAAAATTGATTCGAGTTAACCGAACTGCGGTTTAATTAGACTAGAGTATTATCGTTCTGATATTTATAGGGTTTATCAAAAATCCTAACTTTTCTTCAGAATTCATCTCTGTGCCAACGAGTCGCCTCGTCTCGATTGATACAATGGCTTCCGGCGGCGGAGAATCCTCGATGGCGAAGAAGAGGATGAAGAGAACTCATAAGAGAAGGCGGGAGGAAGACTTGGAGCGCATGGATTCACTTAAGTGGACCAGCTCTATACCTATCGGAGAAGACGACGACGGCGAAACTTTCTCCACTCTCTTTGCAGGTTCAGCTGAGCTTGATGGAGGTAAAATTTTGGGTTTTTTTCTTTTTCTATAATTGATTTTGGGTGTCTTCTTTTGAAATTAGTGCAAGTCATTTTTTATGTAGCTTTGCTTCTAAGATTTTGATTTGTTAAAATGCGATCCCAAAATTCGTGCAGGAGTTATTGCTTCGCCTTTGTTAGTTCACTGAAAGTGTTAATTTTTTATACTTTGTCTGGGCAGGTTTTCTTTCACTTGAAGAAATTGATGAAGCTGATTACAATCTGGCGGCTTTTCCTGCGACGGAAAGTGGGAAAACAGTGAAAGGGTTGAAGTCGAAGAAACAAGCTCAAACAAACAATGATGGTAACAATGAGACTGTGGATGAGATAATTGAAGACGACGAAGAAGAAGAAGAAGAGGAAGAGGAAAAAGAAGAAGAAGAAGAAGAAGAGGAAGAGGAAGAAGAAGAAGAGGAAGATGAAGAAGAAGATGGAGAGGAAGATGGAGAAGAAGCAGGAGAAGAAAAGAAAGGCGAGGATGATTTGGAGAGTCGTAAGATAGAAGAGAAGAAAGCTAAAAGGAAGAAGAGGAAGAAGGACAAGAAGAAGAAGGCTAAGGAGGCCGAAAAGGATCATGATACTTCTGCTGGTTAGTGTTTCATCTTGTGCGTTTTTATTTAAAATTTTGGTTCCAAAGAGGTAATCATTACTCGGTAATTGCTACTTGACAAATTCTCTTAGGGATATTAAGATTTGAAAGGAATGCCTTATTATGTTGATGGTCTTTTGACTAGTATCATAAATTCAAACTCTGTGGTGGATCGCTTTTGTTTAACAACCGTTTCACCAAATTTGTCTGTTTTCCTAATTAGGCTTAACAATTGATATATTCTTTTGTTGAATGTTCTGTCACCAAGTTCTTGTCACTACACCTTAACTCACATTATAATGATATATCATACATTGTAGCAGTTAGCTGTGATGAGGATAACAAAGCAGAGGAGCTAGATGGCGAAGAAGAGATTCCTCCGGAATTCAGCGCATGGAGTTTGATGAGACTTCATCCACTACTCATGAAGTCAATATACCACCTCGGATTCAAGGAGCCGACAGAAATCCAGAAGGCTTGTTTTCCCGTTGCAGCATTTCAGGGAAAGGTTAGATGAAGATGACCCGCTTTTTTATCTATCAATAATCTACATTTTATTGATGTATGGTTCATATTTGGACCACAGGATGTTATTGGTGCTGCGGAGACAGGATCTGGAAAGACGCTTGCTTTTGGGTTGCCCATACTGCAACGCCTCTTAGATGAGCGAGAAAAGGTTGGTAGAATGCATGCACTGAAGGGAGAGGAAGCACAGAAATATTCTGCAGATGGCTATTTACGAGCACTTATCATCACTCCTACTAGGGAACTTGCGCTACAGGTATCCTTTACTCTCATCACATTGCTTTTTCTTCTTCTTTTCTTCCTGACATGTTTCATTTGTGGGTTAGAGCATAACAATTATTTGATATACAAATCCAACTTTTCTCTTTTGATCAGGTGACTGATCATCTTAAGAATGCTGCCAAGAATCTCGGCGTCAGGGTCGTTCCTATTGTTGGTGGGATGTCATCGGCGAAGCAGGAAAGACTTCTGAAAGGAAAACCAGAAATAGTTGTTGGAACTCCAGGGAGGTTATGGGAACTGATGTCGGCCGGAGAAAAGCATCTTGTAGAGGTATGTAATGCGTAATCGTAAATTGAAAGGACCATGTACTTCTTTTAATCCGGTATCTTGCTCCTACATTAACTGATTCTGGTGTAGTTACTGGGTTTGTCCTCGAATGTAGTAATCACTTTGTAATCTGTACTGTTTCAAGTTGAAAAATGTTTCGTAAGTATGTCTGCTAATTAAGGCGTGTGTGAACTGCTATTAGTCTTTAGCTATTCTTAGACAGTGTATAAAATGTTTACGTCTTACTGGTCCTCGTTGGCAGCTGCATTCCTTGTCTTTCTTTGTGTTGGATGAGGCTGATCGCATGGTTGAAAGTGGCCATTTCCGGGAGCTGCAGTCTATAATCGACTTGCTTCCAGTGACAGATAAACCAAATGAAGGGAAAATGCAAACTGTGCAGAGTTCTGACACAGCTTCCGACGCCCCAAAGAAGAAAAGGCAAACGTTTGTTTTCTCAGCTACGATAGCACTGTCTTCAGATTTCCGTAAAAAGCTAAAGCGTAGCTCCTCCAAGTCAAAGCAGTCATCGTCTGCTGAAGTGAATTCTATTGAGGTTCTATCTGAGAGAGCTGGAATGAGAGATAGTGTGGCCATCATTGATCTTACAACTGCATCTATTTTGGCACCAAAGATTGAAGAATCTTTTATTAGGTAAGTACTATATTTTGCCTATGTCCCCTCTGTAAAATATCTTTATTGCTTGGAGGACGCCATGCTTATACTCAATTGTTTGCTTGCAAAACATCCAGCAATCTTTGATGGTACTTAGTTTCTTGGTCTGTCTCGGTATTGATATCTTATAACAAACTACAGGTGTGAAGAGGAGGAAAAAGATGCTTACTTGTATTATATTCTGAGCGTCCATGGACAAGGGCGGACAATTGTTTTCTGTACATCAGTGGCAGCTATGCGGCATATCTGTGCGCTTTTAAAGATTCTTGGAGTCGATGCTTGCAAACTCTGCGCAGATATGAAGCAGCGAGCTCGGTTGAAGGTCCTGCATTTTATACCTCTTTATGCCAAAATACTCAAATATTACTTTGTTATATTCTGAGTTCAGAAACAAATATATTTTCTTGATATTGTGTTACTTAGCATCTTTGTCTTTCCACTCTTTGTTTGTCACAGGCAGTGGACCGCTTCCGTGCAAGCGAAAACGGAATACTAGTAGCAACGGATATTGCAGCAAGGGGAATTGATATTAAGAATGTCCGAACTATCATTCACTACCAGCTTCCACATTCTGCAGAAGTAAGCCAAGACTGACTACTTTTTTGGTCTTTCTTTGATAATTTGTGTACAAGCACTTAGCCTTTTTTATCCATATAGGTGTATGTACATAGAAGTGGGAGGACCGCAAGAGCATTTGCAGATGGATGCAGCATAGCTTTGATTGCGCCTTCTGATTCATCAAAGTTCTATACGTTGTGCAGGTCCTTTTCTAAGGTACCAAATTTTAGATGTCTTTCAAAAGTTAGTTTTTCATAAAGAACATACTGTGGTGGGTGGTCATATGCTAAAAGTAGTTTTTTTTTTACTTCAGTTTTGCCACTTTCATGCTGAGGTTCCTTTGTTTGTGCTTACAGGAAAGCGTAAAGATATTCCCTTTGGATAACTCTTATATGCCAGCTGTGAGGAAGCGATTATCTCTAGCACGTCAAATAGACCAGATTCAACGGAAAGGCTCGCGGGTATTTCTTCTATTACCGTGTTTAATTCGTGATGCATCTGGAAATATTGAAACCTATGCTTTTGTGTAGTATAGCTTCACACTCTCTGCCTTGATCTGAATGCTTTTGTGTAACTCTTCCCATTTGCGTACTTAACTTTCAACTTTTGTCATTATTTTGTCGATGCTCTTCTGGTATCCAGGAGAGAGTAGACAGGACGTGGCTTGAAAAACATGCGGAATTGATGGAACTTGAGTTGGACGACGACGAAAGTGAAGAGGAGAAAGTGGACAATGTTAGGCAGAGAAAAGCGACCTCAGCACAACTTAAAAAGCTGCAGGAGGTTTGTTACACGACTACTCATAAGAAAACTTCTCATGATCCATTATATATATAGCTTCCCTCTAGAAAATCGTGAAAAAAAAACAATATCTTCACTTCAATCCGCAGGAACTTAGCTCGCTCTTATCACGTCCGATGCAGCCCAAGAAATTTTCAGACCGTTACTTTGCTGGGGTGAATTTTAATCCTCGTTATCTTTTCTTTTTTGTCACAAAACAGAGGTATTATTGCATAAGAGATTCATGATGTTTTTTTTTTTTGTTTTGTCGCAGCGTGGTATCTCGCCGCTTTTACAGAACCAGTTAGCAGAGTTAACAAATCCAAAGCACCCACAAATGCCAAGTGGTGGAGATAAAAAGAGAAGAAAGCTTGTTGTGGTTGCCCAGAACTGCATCGAACCTCTTCAAGCCCTTCGTGACGGAAGTAAAGAGGTACTTTTTTCCTTTTCATTTCAAATCACCTTTTCAGCTTGACCTCGATGGATCATTGGTTTCAGATCCTGAATTATAGGAAATACTTGTATCTTTTTGGATAATCTTTCTTTAATGATCGATCTTTCTTGGCCCCTGAGACAACGATGCGACTTAAAACTAAGTTCCCAGGTTGTATTAATGATGTGTTGTTGCTTTGTTCAGATGATGAGCATGAAAGGCCAGAGTGCAGATAAGAGGCGTGATATGGCGACCTGGAGGAAGAAGAGAAAGGAAGAGAAGATAGGTATATATAGTAATAATAACTTGCTTTTGTTTATGTGTTTGTGCCCCAGTAAAGGAGATGTTTTACGATCTTTGCTATCTGCAATTTTTCAGGTCGGCGTGATCAGCGAAGGGATCAGAAGAAGAAGAGAAAACTAATGGCTTCTTCCTAGATCCTAAGTGTCTTCTTTTACCAAAACTTTTGTTTATCCGAATCAGACCTTGACCTCTTTTATAAGTTTTAAACCTTAAATTGTAAAACTTATGTACGTCACTCCTTTTTTTATCTCTAAAGAACCCAAATTTTTGACCATTTATCTCGTCATTAAAGGATCTCCGACACTAAACTACTCTTTGAAGTATCAATCATAAGGTTAACAAAATTTCTCAACCCTTCTCCTTTTCTCACTTCATTTACTTAATTTTCCTTAATTTTTAATTGAGAAATTGTTCAATTCCATAGAACTACTCGTCTAGAAACATATATATACGTGTATTTCCAACGATCCGATAACGATAAAATGCTACTTTTTTAGTTTTTCGAAAATACTAATATAAATTTAAGACATTAAGATTTGGGACAATGCCACTAATAATAAATGTTTCTCTCAGATTTTTGACAAATCCATAAATTAAAAAGCTACAGCTGTTGTAACGCCGAGAGATTTTTAAAAAACAATAACCTGTCATTACGCCTACTGATTCAAGAATCCCATTTACAAAAAAAAAGTAGCACAAAGCTATCACAAACTTTACAATCCAAAATAAAAACTGTCAACTAACTTAACTGACAGCAACTATTTCTCACCTTTGAATCTGATCCGAACTTGAGTTATTAGCTGCCGACGCACTCGATGGCCGTCCATTCTCGGCCCCTGCTTTATCCGCAGCAACTGCGATGCCAACGCCCCATCTTCTCGAAGCTTCCGATGGCTCGATCACTTTAACTGAACCATCCGAGAGTCCAACGGCTAATTGGTTTGGCTCTTGTGGATGAGCTGTGATCACCTGTGGAATGATCGGTGCACTATCACAGAGGACAAAAAGAAACAAAAAACATTCAGTCCCAGATATATATAATTGGTCTCACAGATCGGTGCACTATCGCAAGAACATAAGGTACCTGTTGGGTGTTGGTTGAGGCATGTAAGCAGATGGAGCAATGCGACATCTGAGCCTCAAGGTTTCAGCATCAAAGACTGCAATGTTTCCATCAGCGAATGATGCGTAAACAAGTTGGCTGTTGCATGAGTAAGACGCAGAGGTTATAGGCGCAGAGAGAGCTTCTTGTGGCACCCACTGCACAAGTATATAAACAAAGAAAGGTATGAGAAGCCAAGTTTTTTTTTGGTTATCATTCAAGATATGGCGCTTTAACAAAAAAAAAAAAGTAACAGATTATTGGTTTACCTTGTGTATACATTCCATCTTTGAAGCATCGTAAATGGCGAGCTGTGTCTCATGTGAGACCAATAAATGGACTTGGTCGTTGTGGAACTGGACTCGCGTGTCTCCTACTGGTGCTTTTCCAGGTGGTAGTTGAATCGCTGACGATTTCTTCTTTTCCCATGAATCGGCGGTCCAGAAGAAGAGCTGTAAAGAGAAATGCAAAGAGTTTAAAAAAGCTGAAGATGTGCGAGAAAGCTTCAAATAACATCTGAAAAACAACAACAAAAATACAATGAGTTTGCCTTACCTGAGCATCGGCACCAGAAGAGACAAGAACATTGAGTGCGGTAGAGAATGCTAGACCGGTTATGTGCTTCTGGTGACCTTTCAACTTTGTTTTCACCTACAGATCGTTTAAGAGGTAAATCAGTGATTAACACCAGAAGTTTAGTAAAATCAAAGTAACCGCAGAAACAAACAAACATGTATTGTTATTATTACCTCATCTACCCTGACGTTGTAAATATGGATACTCGAGTCCTCCATCCCGATTGCAATTATGTTATTGTCTTGCGGATGAAACGCCAAGAACGTTGAAGCTGGTGGTGGCGGCATGAATGTCGTCATTACCTGCCAACAAAGTGAAAAATGCCATTTAGCTCCGAGTATTTACGGATATGTTCTTCTTTTCATCTACAGAACAAAAATCAAAGGCTCGAGAGAAAAAACAAAAAAAAAAGTTGGATTACGATGCTTACTTTAAAAGTCATCATATTGAACAATGAAACCTTTCCACCACAAGCAGACATTACGTATGAGTCATTCTTAGAAAGCGCTATACACGGCACAGCTGCTTCAGGATTCTCGGGAACATCATTTGCCATTAGGAGACCACTGTTAGGCTGCCAATGCTGTGGAGTTACACTAGCGGTTGCCTTTTAAATTGAAAGAAGTACAATGATTTAGCCACTCATGCAAAACATCTTAAAACGTGACTTGATTCGAGCGCTTACGTAAAACTTGTCAAATACATTAGATGAAAGTTTTTTGAAAGGTTTAACGTATTACCTTCCCAGTTGGATTTTGCTCATTGCGCATCCACTTCCATAGTCTTTGGACACCATTTGCCCCGAGAGCCAAAACGCCGACGCCCGAATTTGTGTAAAGAAGCCGAGCAACCTTAAAATTGACAAAGCATCAAAAGGTTGTTCCAAAGATATTTGTATTAATGAACTGAACACTTGATGGGAGGAGGTTTCAAGCTGAGACGACAACAAACCTTGCTAACAGAATCCTTGCTATCCGGCATTGTCACTTGTCGGCACTGAGTGGGATCAACAATTTCTGTGAGTTCCAAAGGTTTAGACTTATCAACAGAGTCCATGTTTCTTGGCTTTTCCATAGTTCTTGACATTGCCTCAATTCCATTCTGCATAATACATAGATGACATGATAATTATATAAACAACAAAAACGAAACCAAGATCCGTTTAGTGAAGGAATCAGTCCAAAGAATAAGGATTCCTGATTGAAATAGGAGAACATATAGCAAAATTTAATATCATACAGGAATTGGTGTTGGCCTTGAAGGAGAGCCTGTATCCATGTGTTCGATTTTACCAATAGCTGGACTGATGCTTGAAGCCATTGCGGAGGTGGATACCTGAATCACCAGCATTGACACTTTGAGTTAAACTGGACAAAAAGGCTCATTTCAACAGAAGAATTATAAGTAATAGCGTAAAAGGGATTTATACAAACCTTCATCTCAATGGATGCTTTAGATGCTTCAAAAGACCGAGCTTCATATGCTCTTAAGGTTCTAAGACCATCGGTGTTAGCAAGGATCTTGAATCCGTTATCTGCTGTAGTAACTGCAAGAAGATTCCCTTCCTTGTTGAACCTCAAACGGGGAATACTCTGATATAAAGCAGCACATACCATCAGTATAGCAACATGTTCGAGAAATACGAGAGATTATATATACACACAAGGAGCCAAGAGGAATAGATTAAGCAAAAATTTCATACCGGAAGTCCTCCTTCAGCTTCAACAGTTGTCAACAGATTAGTATTGTCCATGTCCCAAAATTTTATTTGACTGTCTTCACCAACGGCCAAGAAACGGTTACGAGTGGTATCAAACTGAACAACCCCAGCAGATTTCTTCCTGAAGCCTAGATATGTCCTCTTCAGGGCACCTTCGCTCTCATTCCACTCGACAAGGTAAGAGTCTCCCTCTTTACTCGTCCCACAAGAAAATAATCTGAAACCATGACAAATGTTTACTTAAATTTGAGCTTATTTTATATCAACTATTTAGAAGATTTCGTGGCAGAGACAATGATATTGTTTTTCAAATCTATAGCTTCTTATGTACCTGCTTCCATCGGCACTGTATAGCATCGTTGTACACCACTGTCCAGGTGCGTCGTAATCAACCCGAGAACCAACATTATCATAGAGCCAAGCCTTGATCTTACCATCGAGAGCAGTTGAGAATATGAACTGCATAGTAAAAAGAGAAGAATCAATGAAATGGAATGAAATGAAAAGATTGATGAAATTTGGCAACAAGAGATGCTTTTGTACCTGAATATTTTCCTTCTGGTGAGGGCAAATGGAATAAACCGGTGCCTCGTGGCCTTCAAAGGTGTAAAGCTTCTTCCCACTCAAATCCCACACCTAAACAAATCTCATGATTAGATATGAAAACAAAAATGGGAGTCAGTCTCACAACCCTCGCGTACCTTAATCAATTTGTCGTCCCCACAAGTCACAACACAGATTTGCTTGTTTGGGTGGGCGAACGCCAAGTCATTCACACAGCCAACATGCGCATCAATCTAATCCACAGAAAGAAAAATTTGGTTAAGTTTGGCGCAGATGCCACAAAGTCAAGAAAACAAAGTACCACAAAAGAAGATTAAACATGCCTCGAGGTGTTGACGTAAGTCCATGCCTTGGTACGCATATACATGGATCAGATGTTTAGTAAAAGAAACACCTGCACTCAGCAAAGAATACACAAGTTTAAACTTTCGTGTCTAACTGAAACTACAACTGTATCTTTGAAACATCGTTTTGCGCCTAGTTGTCATGAGATCAATCTCTATATTAGCATACCAATCAAATTTCCATCTGGGCTCCATGCTACGCGAGTGACGGATATCGATGATTCTTTGACAATAGAGCCCTGGAAAAAAAATTAATCGGTTGAATACGCCATCATAGGACAGAACATAAATCACTCGAGGCTGCATTAGTTTAGTGTTACAATGATGAATTTTCAGGAAGAAAGGCTAACCTGGAAGATCACAGAGCAAGCCGCTATATTCCATATCTTGAAAGGCTCTGTGACAACCTTCTCTCTGGATCCAACTTCCCACAAGGTGACTTCGCCGCTTGAACAACCAACTACAAGTAACAAACATGTTAAATATGAGAGCCAAATAAAAGCAAAATTCTACTAAGCTCTTCATGGTGGCAATAGACTAACCAGCGAGTAATGTGTGGTGAGCAGGGTGAAAATCCATGCTTATCACAACCGACCCTTGGCGCATTGAACTCACAACATTTCTAGGGAGGTCATCGAGTGACGCAGAGGGATGAGCATGAGCAGGATATGTGACCTGTGATTTGAAAAGTAGAGCCAGAACACTCAACATCAGAAACACACATTCCAAAGCAACAAGAGTTTTCTTCTGCTTGATAAGCATTTCAAGAAACAAGGAATAGTACCTCGTTAGCGGTTTGCGCAGACCGTAAACGTTTCATGAGTTGCTCGTGATCAGCGTTTTGATAATCCATCAACCCTAAAGAGTTTGATGGCACCCGAGGATGTTTCAGCACATTAACTGTTGTGACGGAATAAAACGACACGATTTCAGGTATTTAGCTCAAACACATTCATTCATCAGCAAAGTGTTTCGATGCCATAACAGTCAAACACTTGGTACATGAAATCTACCTTGATTTGGCTGCATAGGAAAAGGGGAAGCAGCGACGACGCCAGATGGAACTGAAGAAGAAGGGTTTGGGTTTGCCATCCATCCAGCTAAAGCATTGGGATTAGGAGCCGGAGCAGTATTAGGTTGAAAAGGCTGCACAGATATATATATATATATATAACGGTTTCATCAGTGATCTCTCAAAACGTAGACACAACGTTATAACAGAAGAGGTGGGAGAAGCAAGTAAGTGATCCTACTCCACCATGAACTCCAAGAGGAACAAAGTTTGAAGGTCTTGCGACAGCGGCAACGGGAAGATTAACTGGAGTGAGCGCACGAGCACCGTTTGCTGCTGAGCAAGAGTGATCCAAGAACAGAGTTTTGATGTCAGGGTTAGGCCTCGGGTTTTTACATAGCTGGTGCTGCCAATTCAAGCTGCAAAACAAAAAACATAAAAAAGCATTACAAAACTTATCTTTTACAAGAATGAAAAGAAAGAAACGTGACAGGATCTTAGTTCACCTTTGATTGATCAAAGTTCTCAGGCGGGAAGCTTTGAAACTAGGGAAGGCCAGCTTCTCTCGAAACAGAGGATTTGCCTCAATCAGTTTCTTCAACTCAGTGTACATTATTGTCCTGGCTGATTTTGTATCACCGTATTTCGACAATTGCTCATTTTCCCTGTGGGAATAATTAAAACACACACACACTTCAACTCTAAAGTGACTGCCTTTCGGCAAAATTCTGATTGCATTAAGGCGGAAAAAAGTTAAATTTACCTGAAATTCTCCAGAGTGAGAAGCTGAGTGATTTCCTTGTAAAGTTCCTCGTTAAACGTCGCAAAAACTTTCAAGTCTTTGGCTAATATTTCAACAGCTTTTGCTCTGTCATTTCTGAAATAAAACACACGAATGTATCAATTAAGAAGACACCAAACTAAAATATTCGGACAACAACTAGAAGAAAACAAAAAAGACAGGCAAAATCATTACCGATCTAGAGCTTCCAGATACTTTTGCTTCCTGATCTCGAAGAAAATTTTCATGGAGTAGCGATTATCATCAACTTTGGTGAAGCCTGAAAGATACTTCTCCACTTCGTCCCACTCTCCAGCGAGAGCTTTCTCTTCGAAGTACTTGATGTTGAAGAAGAACCCAGATTCCTGCTCTAGCCTACACACATCCAACCAAAATTCATATTACCCAAACAGATAAAACGCAAATCTAGTCCCAAAAACAGAGAAAAATTGCGCAGGAAGAAGCACAAACTTACTTGTGAACAGATTCCTTGAACTTCTCTTCATCTAAGAACTGAAGGATTAAGAAAACTAACTCTCTGCTCAGAGACGACATTTCGTAAAACTCTCAGAGCCAAGAGATGTGGAGATTTGGGGATCTGGGGTATTCGTGAAAGACGGGTAGGTCAAAGTTCCTCAAATCGTAGTTGGAATGGTTTTCTAGGGTTTCTGCTTCTCCCTTTCCTCGCGGCGCAACAACGAAAAGAAGAAAAAGCTGACCCCAGAGAAAGAGAAAGAGAAAGAAAACTCGATTTTATATTTAATGATTTTGTTTCCAAAGAAAAATAAAATAAAAAGTACGACTTGTTCTCCACTTTCTTCGATGCGTTTTGTCACACAGACTGTAGTTTGATCTGTTAGTCTGCTTATATTTGATAATCTAACTTGCTTATCTCGTTATTATATAAGCTGATAACCTCGTTGGTGGTCTGATCCCTTTGCTTGGCTTTTATCTGATGCGCTTCAGTCCAGGGCAAGCAGAAGTGGGGATCCAAGCACCCTCTTTTTCTGTCTTATTATGACACGTGGCGGAGTATGATGCAGTTACAGTTTTTTTAAAACGTGGGCTGCAAAGTAGTGGATCGTTTCTCTTAAGTGGCATAGGTCACGCGGATTCGAGAAATTGAATTGAACTGGATTGAGCAGAGTTCACTGGCGTCCGCCACATGTTGTTACCTTGTCAGGGGGAATGACGTGGTCTCGATATCCCCGTTTATCTCGTATTTTTCTTCGGAGCGTGAGTTATCGCGAGAAATACGAGATTCTTTCGCTCTGCTAGTTGAAAGCTACAGATAATGGCTGCTACCAAATCAAGCCAATATTTGTCGTCTCATTCCCCAAATTATACTAAAATTACTGTAATTTAAAATGTTAAACAAACAGAAGACAAATCTAGTATGTGAATTTGGGTATTTTCAAATGCAAATTTTGTTGTTTTTTATTTAAAAAAAAGTTCTATAAATTAAAAAAATAGAGTTGAATTAGAAATATATTGTTTTGAAGAAAATAATTATATATTCTCTTCGTTTCATAAAAAGTGTCATTTTAGAGTTTTGTTTTTGTTTCACAAAGAGTGTCGTTTTAGGTTTTCAATACAAATTTATAACCAAATATTCAGTTTTAACTTTATTATTTTAATGTATTAATTATAAAGAGAAAATTATTTAATGTATTTATTAGGAATAGAAAAGATTTTTTGTTAACTTTCTTAATTTGTGTGAAAAATGTCAAAATGACATTTATTTTAAAATAGAGGGAGTATGTGTTTGTGTTTTGAAAAGTTTATCAAGCTAGCGACTTTTAGTGAATTTTTTTAACAAAGTTTTTAAATGAGATTTTTTTGAGAAAAATACTCAAATTCTATTGTCTACCTACTTTGAGCATTCTTTGTCGAATAATAAGTTTTTTTGTTTTCTCCTCTTTAAATATCTAAAATCTTTAATTAAAAAGATGATATTCCTGCAAAGAAACTTTGTAAAAGAAATCATTATCTATTACTCTGATTGTCAAATCACAATTTCACAAAATCTTCTTCTCAGCGTAATCTTTCATGTTTTAAAATGTACCTACAGAAAAAAACATTATATTTTTTTACAGACATATTTCTAGATTTTTTTAAGAACTTAATATTTTAAATTTGAAACCAACGAATATAAAGAAAGTTTCACAAAGAATCATGGGCGTTGAAATCATTATCGTGAAATCATATACACGATGTTTCTGTCTTGATTCTAATAGATTATGTTGTTGTATCTCCAAATGTTAAAAATGACTACTTCGATCCATTACAAGAAGAATGATAAAGCTTCTCATTGTTGGGGTTTTCGCTACTAGCTCTTGTTTCTCGAAGGCTCATCAAACTGACTTTGCTAGTTGCTACTATATGTGGCCTATGGGTGTTCTTTAGACATGTGTCTTGCATACCATCGACTGTTTATAATTATATATTTTAACTCCTAATCAAACTCTCTAATCCATATGGTATCATTTTCTTTTAACTGTTGATGAAGTCCACTTTATGTTTGTCCCACAGAAAGAAGCCCACTAGATTTTGAAGCCCACGATTGAGCCAAGTGGGTTTATATGTCAATTGCTGTTCTCGATTCCATGATTGTTTGACCTAACTTCAAAATGGCAGTGGCGATATCCGATCTTCCAAGGGATTTGACAGAGGAAGTGCTCTCTAGGGTTCCGTTAGCATCTCTGAGATCAGTGCGATTGACTTGCAAAGAGTGGAACACGTTACCGAAAGATGAGAGCTTTGTAAAGAAGCTTATTGCTCAAGCAAAATCAACAACCGAGAAGGGTGAGTTTCTGGTGATCATGGTTATGCATTACAGGGTTTATACTATGAGCATCAATCTCCGGAGAGAGATTAACCACAATGTTGATGCATCATTTATAAAGCCACAAGGTAAACTATTCACCCCACACAATGAAACTGAAAATCATCAAAGTGGATATATCTAGCGTCGTTCACTGCGACGGTTTATTGTTATGCATCACCAAAGACAACTCTAGGCTCGTGGTTTGTAATCCTTACAGTGGGCAAAGAATGTGGATCAAACCCAGAATAAATCCTTACCATCACTTTGATACCTATGCTCTCGGATACGAGAAGAACAAGAACAACTCGCTTCGTCGCCACAAAATCTTGAGATTTTTGGATAATCACACCCTTACGTTAAAGCGCCGCCGAGTCCGTGAGTTTGAGATCTACAAGGTTAAGTCTAGTTCATGGAAGGTTATTTTTAGTGTCACTCCCGAGTGGTATATAGATCTCGATCATCACCGTGGCGTATCCGTCAAGGGAAACACTTACTGGTTTGGAGGTCTTCGACTAAAAAATACTTCGGAGATGCGTGATTTCTTGATCTGTTTTGATTTCACAGCAGAGAGATTCGCACCGCGTATGCATATGCCTCTTCAAGCTGGTTATCACGATACCGTGACTCTTTCTACCGTTGGAGAAGAGCAGCTTGCTGTGTTATTACAGCGGAGTGATTTGAAAGTGCAGATTTGGGTTACGACCAAGATTGAGCCTGAAGCCGTGTCGTGGAACTTGTTCTTATCAGTGGATATGGGACCACTCGCTGGTTCTCGGTTCCTTCGTAACACTGGGAGCTTCTTCGTTGACCAGAAGAGTAAAGTTGCGGTTGTTTTTGATAAAGGCAAACATGGGCCTATCTCTCGCAAGATAGCTCACGTCATGGGAGAGAATGGATACGTCGAGAAAGTGGATTTTGGCGAATCTAGAGAAGGAGGTTGTTGTCTTGCTTGCTCTTATGTTCCAAGCTCAGTGCAACTGGATCAACCTGCAAGACGAAGGAAAAGGAAAAGGAACCGCAATAAATTTATTAAGCCAGAAACCGCAGGAAAATGGGAAGTATTACTAGTGCAAACTAGTGTTTTGCCGAAACTATGCATGTATTGTATAATTATTTTGTGTTTGATATTGTTTTGGTTGTTATCGTATTATATTTTTCGTTATTTTTTTCATTGATGAAAGACTTTTGATTTTAATTTGAAAAGTTATTCTCAAATCATTAATAACAACTGATTTTAATTAGTTGGAACTTGTACCATATATTTTACTGAATTGATATACTATTTATTTAAATTTTGGCATCTCAAATAGATAAAAAAAAAAGTGATAGAAACCTTCGAGATCTCTACTCTTCAACAAACCGTGCTTTCATTATACGTAAGTTTTTCTCTCTTGAATAATTCTCCATTTTTTTTTTTTTTCAAATGTTTCTTATTCAATTTCCTTCAACATGCAACACATTTTCTTCCTCCTTTGACTTTTCCTCTTAATCCCTACAATTCATGGTTGTCATTTTTTTAACCCTAATTTTCAAGAAAAATATGTATAAACTAACCTTCCTAGAAACACAACACTTAAGTTATTGTGAAAATGTAATGCCTTTTTGCATAATTCAAAACTTTAACTGGAAGAATAAATAAAGACATTTAGCTAATAGCTATATAGTCAAATAAACTCCAAAAGTCACTTGTAAACACTAAACAGAATTATAACTAAACGTGTGAGCAGCATACCATAGTTATTAAACAAAATCATATTTAAACAGTTTCATATTTTTAACTAGGGGTGGGCACAATTCCCGTCCCATCCCGTCTCCCGTCCCGTCCCGTCCCATCCCGTCTCCCGTCCCGTCCTATCCCGTCTCAGTCCCAATCCCAAATTCCCGTACCATATGAGAATGTGTTTCCCATATAGTACAACATATTGATTCCTATTTGGGAATTGGACGGGACGGAACGGAAGTGAGAATTTCCGATGTTTCATTTGTCCCGAATTATATATAAATAATAAATTAAATATTTAAAATATATTATCAAAAATGATAATTATTATTTATTAATATATTATTTTATATAAACGAAAGTTAAAACTTAAAAGTTGCACCATAAAGTTCTAACTTATAAGTTATAACCTAACAAACAAACAAGTATCAACTTCTACCTTGAAGCTTTTAAATTTTAATAATTAAGTTAAGTTTGATTTTATTTGTTTTTTATTTAATTTATAATCTTATATGACATGTTATTATTACTTATTAAGATTTAGGAGGTGAACAATAGACGAATATAAATTGAGTTTTTTTTTTTTTTTTTACAATTGTCAATTTGTCGTGTTTTTAAGTTTTTTGGGAATTCCAGTCCCATTCCCGTCCTATCCCGTGCCATTCCCGTCCCGTCCCAAATTTCGAATAGAACACATATGGGACAATTATTTTGGTTCCCATATTCTCGTCCCGTTCCCATTCCCGCAAAATCCCGTCACATATTCCCGTTTGCCCACCCCTATTTTTAACACACATTTGGTCCAGAAATTCATTATGTTGTGAGGTAGAATGAGGATAACAACTATTTTGTGTTGTATAACTATTTTGTGTTTTATATTGTTTTGGGGGTTGTTTTCATTTTATATTTTTGTTACTTTTTTTAAATTGATTAAAGATTTTTGATTTTAATTTTAAAAGTTGTTTCCAAAGCATTAATAACAACTGATTCTAAATATATAAGTTTATTATATACTAGGTATTTATCCGCGCTACGCTGCGAGATATTTTTCTAGATTTTATATATATATTTTTAATATAATAAAATTATTTTTATAATATAAATGAATTTATATTTTATTTTTTATTAACTTAAGTTATGTATTTATATGTTTTAAATCTGAATAAATATTATATATCTTTAATTTTTTATTTTTTAAAATTATAATCTACTATCAAAATTGTTTAGCTAACTATCTATAAATGTATATGTAAGAATAAAACAATACATTTTTAAGTACTTACATACTAATGTCAAATGTAATTTA